ATTAAGAAGGTAATGAGCAGCCAGGTGCTGCTAATCAAATGCACTTGATTAGTTGATCATCAGGAAGTGTGACCACCTCTATAAAAGCAGACCTTTTGACAGTTTGGTTGTCTGGATCATTTATGTGTGTTAACCATGCCAAGGAGAAAAGACATCAGCAATGAACTCAGAGAAGCAATTGCTGCTGCTCATCAATGTGGGAAGGGTTATAAGGCCATTTCCAAACAATTTGAAATCCATCATTCTACAGTGAGAAGGTTTACAAATGGAGAACATTCAAGACAGTTGCCAATCTTCCCAGGAGTGGGCGTCCCAGCAAATTCACCCCAATGTCAGACCGTATAATGCTGAGAGAAATCACAAAGAACCCAAGAACTACATCTAGGGACCTACAGGCCTCGGTTAACATGTTAAATGTTAAAGTTCATGACAGTACGACCAGAAAAAGCGAGAACAAGTATGGGCTTTCATAGAAGGGTAGCCAGAAGAAAGCCCCTTCTCTCCAAAAAGAACATGGCAGGACAGCTTAGGTTTGCAAAGCTGCATCTGAACAAACCACAAGATTTCTGGAACAATGTCCTTTGGACAGACGAGACCAAAGTGGAGATGTTTGGTCATTATGCACAACGCCATGTTTGGTGAAAGCCAAGCACAGCATATCACCACAAACCCCTCATACCAACAATTAAGCACCATGGTGAAGGGGTGATGATTTGGGTGTGTTTTGCAGCCACAGGACCTGCACACCTTGCAGTCATTGAGTTGACCTTGAACTCCTCCTTATACCAAAGTATTCTAGGCACAAATGTGAGGCCATCTGTCCGACAGCTTGGCCAAAATTGGGTCAACAGGACAATGATCCCAAGCACACCAGCAAATCTACAACTGGGTGGCTGAAAAAGAAAAGAATCAAAGTGTTGGAATGGCTAAGTCAAAGTCCAGACCTCAACCCCTTTGAAATGCTGTGGTGGGACCTTAAGAGAGCTGTGCATAAAAAAATGCCCTCAAACACCAATGAACTGAAGTAATGCTGTAAAGAAGAGTGGGCCAAAACTCCTCCAAAACGATGTGAGAGACTGATAAACTCATACACACAACGATAACTTCAAGTTATTGCTGCTAAAGGTGGTTCTACAAGCTACTGAATCATGAGGTGTACTTAGTTTTTCTTCTGCATGTCGGCTTATTTTGTGTTAAATAAATAATGACATAGTGGAACCTGTTATGTGTTGTTTGTCACCTGAGGTTAGATTTACCTAATTCTAGGACCTGGTAAGGACCAGATGATTTTTTATGTCCTGATATATAAAACCATAGAATTGAAAGAGGGTGTACTTTCTTTTTCAAATGACTGTATATGAGGAATAATCACATGGACTCAGAGTCCTATTTTCAGAGAAAACAATAGCTATGTGCAAACTGAGCATTACTGTTGGGCAACAGACAAAAGCAATATGATGATAAACAACAGCAATGTTAAGTATGAGCTACCTTTATCTTCAATTAATTAGCAACACTGGCTGTGATGTCTGAGGAGAACATACAACACCATATTATTGTGGATAGATTCAGCACCCAGCTGTTTGTTCAATACAGATTCCTGGATCTTAACTGCTCTTTTAATTCCAAACACAAGTTACTACATGACAGATAACTAAGATTGTTTTCTCATGAGACAATACAAGGTTGTAACATGACTTGTCATTCATATAATAGCTTGAATCACGCATTCCACACAGTCCTGTAACTTACCAGCTCTGCTGTGAACATTTTAACCATCTTCTTCAGTAGGCTATATACTCTCTTTAAAACTGGGGAACTGTGCAAATGAGTTTCTGCACTTAATTTTCATTCTCTACCTCTCTGATCTCCAGTTTCCTGACAGTGGTGTTGGTCGTCCTCTGCAGGGCTTTCAGTTTGCTCTGAAGTTCCCTCCTCTGTACCTGGGGTATAACAGTACTCTCAAC